TTTTTTTTATAGAAAGCAACCTATAAAATCATATTCCTTGACAATGTTGGTTGTCTTTCGAACCTAACAGACACAAAATTTTTTAAAAATAAAAATATAATAGATCCATAAATTAAAAAGAAGCCAAAAAGAGAGGTTAAATTGTATTATTCACCTCAATTTTTAACTTCAAATACATACCAAAGTAGCTAAGTGTCTTTCTAATGTTATTGGTGATTAATTTGGGTCACTTTGTTATGTTAATTAAGCTACAACTCTACAAATTGATTTTTTTTTATAGAAAATAGCAACATTTAACACTAGATTATTTTGTTTTTTTTTTTTGTTAATAAATGTATGTTTAATTAATAATTTGTTGTTTTATTTGTTAGAATTTTATTATGGTAAATGAACAGTTTAAAAGTTATCATGGTACATGAAAAGGTTTGAAGACATTCGAATAAATTTTTTTAATGAGTGCAATAATAATTAGTCATTATTTATTCTTGTTATTGTTTTATATTATTATTGTTTTATATTATTAGAAGATGAGTGGTGTAATATTTATTTTGTTAGACATAATTTTAGGATAATAAATTATTTGTGGTTTTAATTTTAGGCATAAATTTTTGTCTCCCTTTTTGATATTCATTTAGCTAATTTTTCGTTTTTCACTTTTTTAATAGTAAATGCCAGATTTTTTTCATTTTTTATTTTTATTTAAAAAAATTCTTTTTTTTTAATTTATCTTTTACAGAACTGATTTAGTTTTAATGCACCATATAACTCAGTTACTTTTAAGTCAGAAGATATTTTTTTTTACTTCATTTTCTTTTTGAAATCTCTTCATTTTCTCTTTGAAATTGCTCTTTAAAATTTGAAATCTCCCTCAATTAAGATAAAAGAAAATACTCAAATATAGTAAATTTTCTCTTCTCAAATAAAGCGCGATGTCAACATACAAGAAAAACTCATGATCCTCCTATATATATATATATATATATAATGATTTTGGATTCTAAATAGATCATGCTAAATATAATATCACTCTATTATGAATTTATGATGAATCTTATTTTCATTAATTACTCTAGGTATCGAATTTTCAAAAAAAAAACAAAAAAACAACTCTAGATATCAAAATAGATTTTCGAATATAATATATATTAGGATTTCATTAAAATAAAAATTATATTCAATCAAATAATAAAATGTATTTTTCTTTTAATCACAAGTACCCCTAGGTTCAATAGGGTGGAACTAAATCTTGTTTGCACAAGTTGGCCAAGAAGGGGTAAAGTACTCAAAGCGAGTATTTGCTCTATCCACGAGGATCGAACTCTGGATCTCATTTTGGAGAAAAGAGTGTCGAACCACTTATCCAAACATTTATTGGTATTAAATGTAAATTTCAAATTAGTTATAACCAAAGCTATTTTAGGATATTTTAAATTTCATTAAAAGACGATATCGAAAATCTCATTATTCCTTACTCTATTTCTACGTTTATATACAGTATAGGTATATAAATTATTACTGTGTTGCACAGTAATCATATCACTTTATAAAATATTATTTTTTTTAAAAAAATATAAGAATAGGATTATAATTTTTTAAAACATAAAATTAGAATAAAAGATGATTATCATGAATATATAAAATGAGATGCTAACTTACTATTTACTCCGTCCCATAGTACTTGTCAACGTTATTATTTTTAGATATTCCAAAATGTTTGTCCACTTGATTTAAGAGATATTTACTTTGCATTTATATCTCTCATTATAAATAGTTTTAAGTTATAGGAATATATATTTTTTTAAGGAGGATAATTTTAAAAAAGTATGGATATTTTATATGACTTGGCACTATAATTAATGTGTTTTTTTAAACTTTATACAAAAGTCAGGACAAACATTTTGAAAGGAAGGGAGTATAATTTTTCAATCACAAATATTATTTATTATGGATTAGTTTAACATTAAATTTCAAGAGGTTTTAATTGAATTTTTTTTTTTTGAAAAGGTAAATTTTAGTTACTTGATATATTTACCTTGTGAAATTTACAAATTTAATATTCAAAAATTAATAAAACTAACGAAAAGATGAGAAAATGATGCGACCGGAACAGTCGTGAAGGTAGAGTACAATAGAAGGTTTACACGAACGAAGCAAAGAGCAGCAGCATTATTTTGAGTGCTGGCACCTTCAATCGAAACTTCGATGGTGGGCTCCACTCACAGCTCACGCGCCTGCCTTTTGCCATGATAGAGACAAATATACTTATGAACATTATAAGTTATTGCTGATAAAATATTACTACTAATAGTTACTGTTTAAATATGAAATAATGCTTAAATCTAACGTAGTAAAAAGATTAGAGTGTCAAAGTATGAAGGGAAAATAAAAGGGAGGATTATAATGCAATTGGCATTTAAAGGACATGAAAGGAATTTTTAATAAAGTTTATTATATAATTTTATTGAAGAAGAGGAAAGAACCACGACACTTTACTCATTGTTGCAGGCCAAACCGTTCAAGAAGAGAGGAGGAGGATTTTGAGTCAAAACCAAGCAAAAAGAAGGTGAAAATCAAAGAATTTTCAAGTATTAAAGTCAAAGAATTTTCAAGTATTTCTTAAGAAAAGGTTAGTTATTTTCACTTCCTCCTTCATTTCTATGGACTACTTTTTGAATTCCATGAACTTTGAAGTGAGGTGCTTGTTTGTGTAATCTGATTTGCTGAAGATGAAGTGATGAGAAGTGATTTTAAGGTGATTTAAGATGATTGAAAGTAGTTATGCATGAATTCAAAGTCTAAGTTGCTTAAGTCACCAAGATGGATGATTTTGAGTTTGTTCTTGATATGCCATGAACTAGGGATTCTGATATTCTTATATTATGATGTTATGTAAGTAATAGAAGAGAAGGGATGTAGAGTGGAATTGCATGAATTTGTTGACTGGAAGTGAGTTGAAGAAATCTGCCTTGAGCAAACATATTGCGATTGTTATTCCGTAATCAGCAACATGTGTCTTTATAACAGATGAAAGAGAACCAAAAAGGAGTTTTTACATTTAATAAGTAAATCTACTTTTCTACAAGATATAAGATGAAGAATCAACAGTATGTAATAAGTCCCTTTGTAGTATACTTATGTAAGCAATTTATAGACTAATGCTTATTAAGTAGTTACGGGCGACAATGCCAGCCATGTCTTACACTTAAGGTCAAGCGTGTGACACTGGGAGACGTCATAAGTCCCTTAGTTTGATAAATCCAACCCATATGTTACAGAAAAAAAACATAAAAGCCTAAAAAATAATATTTTTTTTGATAATAACAAGGAGATCATAATATTATTAATAAAATCAAGGAGAATAAAGATCTTCAATACAGTGGGAATCATGTCCCATGGAATGGAAGAGACAAGGATGTAACATGCTCACACGAGCAAGAGCATCGTGCATGTGCTTGTTTGAGCTTGCCTCCCTAAGCCCAATCAATTCACAAGATGGATTTGAGAAAGCAATCTGTTTCAATCTCGTTTAAACACTGGTGCCCAATCTGAGAAAAAGGTTCAAAACCATCGTGACATGCTTGAAATAGTCCAAACAATCTGTTTCCAGTAGAACCGGCTACCAGAGTGATCTCGCGAGCAACCAAACAATACTTTCCCTCAGAACCAATGGCTCGTGGCATATGTGTGGGTTTTAGCAACCCCGGGCAAATGACATGTGCAGAGGCTACCAAAGAACTGCCCAGACTTACACAATCCGAACAAGGCCAGCATATATGATCGAACCCTGAACAGATCACGTATGGAACAGGCTGCAATCGGAAGTTGCACCTTTACAGCTCAGCCACTGCATCAAAGTTGCACTTTACAGCTCCAGCCGGAGGGGGAACCCATGTCAAAACTGAAGCCGGCGAAGAAGAGGAAGTGCTTCGACTAATCTGCGCGTTCTTCCAATCTCTAAGAAAGCTAGTGGCTGCCATGACAACGGTGTACGGATCAACATCAGTTTGCTGCCAAACCCGACGATTTCTATCAAACCAGATAAAGTAGCACAACACACTAAATAACAAGCAATGCTCATCACTACGCTGATCAATAAACCCCAACAAGAGATCTATAAACCCAACGGCAGATCCGTCCAATGGAATCCGGGCTAGAGTCCAACACAGCCGAGCTTTCTCACAAAAGAATAGCATGTGCATTATTGTCTCTGTTTCAGTGCAGAATGGGCAATGGTCATCCTCTGTGATTCGCTTGCCAAAAAGTACAGATTTTGTTGGCAAAATATTACGACATGCCCTCCATAACCAGTGCTTAACCTTCGGTGGGGCTGCTAATTGCCATAATTTAGCCCAAACTAACAATATTTGACAGTGAAAAAAACCTGACTGAAGTACCTCCAATATAAAGTAAAAACAGAAAAATTGTATATTGATTATTATCTGACTTGATAGGTGGATTGTATTAAATATGCTTTACTGAATTAATTAAAAATAATTAGATTTTTTATAAATCAAATTGTTCAACTATTCTACTTGAATATATTATATTTATGCCATTTTCAATATTAAATATTATAAATACATTTTTACTTTTCAAAAATTTAAAGAATCAACCAATCATAATCATATTATACTTCCTGGAAAATTATTTTTCTAAAACTATACTTTTCGGAAAGTGAACTTTTTGGGAAACTAGACGAGACCTTAGTTTATTATTGTTCCCTGTAACAAACATGCATGAACCATTTCACGAAGTATGCGTCCGGATAACCAAAGTCTCATTAGTTAGCTCTCGGTCTTCCACTTGAAATTAGAATATTTAGTATAAATCATAAAAGATTATTCGATTTTATAATTCTGACCAAACAAATTTTATAGTTCTGACCAAATCTGAACTAATAAATAATTTATTAAAAATAATATATTAGGATTTCATTTAAAAACTTTAAATTAATACAAATATTACAGGGAGGATCTGACCCTTCTCTTGAAAACCAAATATAGAACAAAATTATTATAACTAAAATAATTAATGTTCGCTGATCTAAGCAAGAGATCCTAATCAAAGTTGGAAGATGAACTTGAAAAGCCAGATAGATCTTCAAAAGTGGTCGGTTTAATAAACTCCCCGAATCTTCTATACGTGGCTTAATTATTCATGAATTAGTTGTTTATGACGAACGCAAAAGATTTGTACCACTAAATCCAACGGATGAACAAGCCGCACTACCAAATTCCAAAAGACAAAAGATCATCGTTTAGTGGAAAAATTCTCCACAAATTGCACACATGTCCAAATAAAACCAAATAAATGCAAACAACAAGACAAACACTCCACATAAAAACAAGACAAAACACAAAACAATAGCAAAACATAAATGATATACATCTATGCCATAATAGACATAGATATGTAATTTATTAACTAAAAAAACATAAAAACTTGAACAAAACTAAAAAAATATAAGGAGGGGCTGTCACAAGAGGCAATAATCAGCCCCTCCTCGCATCTCCATGCTTGATTTATGTTTCAATAGAGAAAAATGAGCTAATAAATAGTTTTGACCTTATATTTTATTACTTAAATATAATTAGAATTAAAATATAAATTATTTTTACAATCTGTTTTAAACGGATAAAAAAAGCTGAGTTGAAGCCAAAAAGGCAACATTTGTGCCCCATGTCTGTAGATTTTCCAAGTCACTAGTTTAAATTTAGTTTTGATCGGAAATAGACTCATTCTAATTATTTTCATCCATTTATTTATTTTGCATTGTTGAAATCAAAATTAAACTTAACGGTGCTAATCAAGCGTGATTTGATTGATACTTTCACTTATGTAGAAAGTACCATAAATGTTAGAATATTGAATTCTATGAATTCAATTCTATGGAATTAAATATAACTAAATCAAATTCTAACAACATATATAAAATTTTCAGATGAATTTCATAAAACTAAACAATTCAAAATTTATGACAAAACCATCTATCTTTCTTGCATTTTGAAATTATCTTATCAATGATATTTTAGGAAATAAAAATAAATGAATTTTCAAATTCTAATTTATTTCAAAGATGAAAAATTTATTTGCAAGTGAATTTCGCTGAGAATTCATTTAGAGTTCATTCTGAACACTTTAAAAAGAAAAATTTTAGAAAATTTTTTTCCCGTTCCTCAACTTAGAAAATCCATTTTGAATCATTTAGCAAGAGATAAAGGAATGTAAAATATTCATTTCTAAATATTTAGCAATATATTCATTTCTAATCCATTCAGAACTAATTTTGTTAATCCATTTTATTCCATTTCTAAATCTATTGCTAAGTTCATTTCTAATTCCTTAAGGAAAAATATAATGCTATTTGAAATTCCTTTACTGAATTCATTGCTGTTTTTTATGTGTTGTTGAAATTTATGGCTAATTATGTTAATTTTTCTTTTTTATTACTATCTATTTAAAATTAGAAAAACAAAATAAATATAAGACTGTCAAATTTTTAACAAACATAAACAAAATATATTTAAAATCTTACAAATATAAAAAAAACTTATGTCTAACAGACACAAAATCTGAAGTCAACCTAAATCAGTAGCATTACTATTGCCCTAATGAATAAGACTATTGATAGAAAAACAAATGAATCAGAAAAAAAAAAAAAAAAAAAAAAAAAAAAAAAATAGAAAAAACAAATAAAAAAAAAAAAAAAAAAAAAAAAAAAAAAAAAAGAAGAAAGGCCAGAAAATCCATCTAGAACAAGATTATAATTTTTAAATTTCAGTAAAATTGGAGGATTAACATATATTTGTCAATGCTTGTTAACATATTTGCTAGACTAGATGACCAAGTATACAAGGAAAAAAAAAGAAAAAAAAGAAAAAATAGTATGCAAGATTAAAGCCAAACTTGCAAATTTACAAAAATTTTGGGACAAATTTTCATCAGAAATTATTATAAATAAACTATTGGCAGAAATGATTCTAGGTGGAGCTATCATTTCCCTGGCCATGGACAGAGCAACTAATATTATAACCTTTTTCATATATGTCACAATTAAATTTAAATTTATAATCTTATTATTCTTAAAAAAATGAATCAATTTTCAAAAACAAAGACATTTCATCTTTAGCTTGGCTTAGATTTACTATTTAAACCATTTGATGGATCATCATATTTCGATAATGTAAATGGGGAGAAAAATTTTGGAACTACCAATCTATTAATTGAACTAGCAAACATTACAAGCACCCCATATTAATAAAAAAAAAAAAAAAAAAATCTAACATTCAATGTGAAAGCCAGTAGTGATTTTAATTATCAGTAACAGGGAAATTATGATTAAAACAAAAACCACTTTAATTATCATTAGTAAAATTTGACTGATAACTAAAAACCTAGCAAGAAGATTCTTTGCAGACTCAACTATTTATGCTTAAAGAGTAGGTTCCAGATATAATGTAATTTATTAGAGAAATAAGATAATTTATTACACAAAATTCAAATTAATGTCAAACAGTTTACATCAAACACAATGGGAGGAAGATCCAAAACCAATTGTATAGACTTCCAACCTTTTTAAAGCAATCAAACAGATAATGCAGATTAAGGACATTCAAATTTCACAAAATAGAGGAAGAAAAGAGAAAAGGAAGAAGACATACCAAAGGATGCGGCGCCAAGAGAGATGCGGTGCGTTTTAGATTTCAGCGCAATAGATTAAACTTAGTTTATAACCTTAGCAACGGATAAAAATCGTTGTTAATCCTTCGCAGAGCCCTTAAAGCGCAATAGGTCATTACCTTAAGGTCATAACTTTAGCAACGGAAAAAATATCCGTTGCTAATTGCTTTTTAGAACCACGCTTAATCTTAGCGGCTGAAGAATTGTTAATTAATAAAAAATAATCTGACACTTTTTGGTGTTTCCATTTCATTTTATTAATTAAAAAATAGTTTATATTAATTAGGTACTCAATAAAATTAAATTTCAAATTAATAAATTCACCCCAGTACTCATGTAAAATTTTTTTTGTGAAACTTCAAATTTTACAAGGATTTGTTCCAAATTTTCATATGCAAAATATTGATATAACATGTTTCGCTAATTTCAATTATTAAGAAAGTGTTTAATTGATCTAATTTTAAAATGTTTACTCGAAATATCTAAAAAATTAAAGGGGTTAATAGGTTAAATTTTTCAAACTTATAGTGTTGAAACGGTCAAATTATGAGATGCAACAAAATTTTTCACAGATGTTAAATTAAATAGAAAAAACAAAAAATATAATAATTAGAAAGTATGCTATATTAATTAGAAAACAATATATTAGAAAGCAATTTATAAATTAGGAAGTAAGCTTGTTTACAGTGTCTATATTACACAAATTTAGCCAATAATCTTATTTCATTAGAAAAATAATCACACTAAAATTCTCCTCAAGTTGAACTTACAACCTCAAATTTAAAACAATCATCCACTAATTAAACTAATTGAAAAAGCATATTAATAAATAAATATCTGATCTAAATTCCCTCCTGTTGAGATACTATCACATTTCCCTTGTTAGCAGTACTAATATTCTTCAATTTCAATACAGAATTAAACCATACATCATCTTCTACCATATTAAAATTTGAAGAAAAATAATAACAATTGCTTACTTGTATAAAGCACAGGCTTATTGGATTAATCATCGAGCATCTTTCGAACGCGTTGTTTGATATAATCGCTACGGGCTTTAGCTCGATCTTGTTGAGGGGCTATATTGACCAGTGACAGGTGAGCTCCATAAGCAATCATTGAAGCTCCGATGATAAAAAAGCCGACTGTTATGGCTAATTGTCTTCGCGTCGGTGGATATGACCAAAGCACCATCTAGGTTTTGCTACTGATCTCTCCTCCCTCGCTGGAGACGATTGAGGAAGAAGAGAAATGAAAATGACCCAACTGATGGCAAAGATTATATGGGCTAGTAAGGAATAGTTTTAAATGGGCCCGTAAAAGCCTGAAATATATCAGTTATTCAGTTAACTAGTTTAGCCCATCTAAAATTGGGTTAATCATCAATAAATTACAGGCCAACAAAATTAATGTCAGAAATTAAATTTTAATATTAATAAAATGCCAAAAAATTTTGAAAATTAAGAGAATTTCATTTTTATCAAAAATAAAATGACAAATCCTAAAATATCCCCAACGAATCCGCTTCACACTGAACTCCATATAAACAGTATCATCATCTATAGCCTATTCAAATCCAAGTCTCTTTCAACAAAGAAAAACAGAGACTCTTCAAGCCGACAACACTATCCTTATTTCTCTGATCACCACGCATACATCCTAGAAATTAAAAGCAAAAGTTTTAATCGCCATTTTCAAGCAATTATAAAAACGATATCAGTGAGTTCATTTCTATAATCAAACATACAAATAGTCGAAAAAACTAAAATTTTTAATTTTTCTGTAAATCTTATACTATATATAAAAGTGGGGAAATACGAAAAAAAATTTAAAATGTTCTAAAGTACCCTTAATGACAACCAATTAAAAATTTATGATTTATTAGTTGATTGGATATAATTTATAAAAATTATTTTTTTAATCAATTATATGTGGGCTGATTATTTTCTCAACGAGTGAGAGGTCTTGAATTCGAAACCTCTCAACCACAAGTGTTTTCACCAACTTGATTACTGTATAGCCTACAATGTTATTTCGGCCAATCAGACATCCTTATAAATACAAAAATTATTTTGTAAATAAATACATATAAATAATTAGACATCCAAAATTTTAAGTTTTATCATTATTAAATTTATTTTTTAATGAATATATTGAATATAATAAACATATGATTAATAGAGATATTTTGAAAATTTTATATTTTATTTATTAATAATCAATTCTTGCTTAAAAAAAATATATTAAAAAAAGAAAATATTTTTTTTCCTAGTTCTGTATGGTATGATTAGGATTTTTTTAATAAAAAAATAAATTTCAAATAGAAATATATATAATATTTTATTAGGAGAGAGATAAAAAAAAGAAAAAATATTAACTGTTTTTGTTCTTTTATTTGTAAAATATGATTAGATACAATTTTTTTAAAAGTAAATTTTCAAATAGAATTTACATTAATTAAGCCTGGAATGATAAACATTAGAAAAATTATTTTTAATTTTTAAAAAAATAGTATTTATTCGATTATATTTATCATATCTCATTACATTGAAAGTTTTTTTTTTTTTTTTTTTTTTTGTCAGGCTTGGAGTTACAATTCTGATTTATTGAGTGTAGCATTGCAATATTATTTTGGTCAGTCAAGCCTCTAATGAATTGGAAAAATAATTTTAAATAAAAAATAATAAGTATACTATATATATATAATATCATATTATATATTATATATTAACTTAAAGTATTTCCAATTTATATTTTTTCATTTTTACCAATAAAATCAATTAATATAATGCTGAACATAATTAAGTATTTCAATTATATTTCTTTCATTATTTTTACCAATTAAATACATTAATATAATCTGAACATTTCTATTTTAGGGTGCATACTAAATACAGATAATAGAGATTGTATTCCCTATGCTATTTCATTTCCTCAGATTTAATAATAAAAAATTAAAATTGCTCTTGAAACAACATATTGAAGCTGCTGTTTTTAAATTGCAAATATTTTTGTACTTTTTTTTAAAAATTTTCATCAATTGATTTTACGAATCAAAAATGATGTTCAAGAAAAAATTGATGAGGCGGTTGTTTCTTAAGCATTTATGAATTCATTAAAATATTAAAATTGAATGATATTGAAAAAAAAATTTGATATGGTTGCTGTTTCTTAAGCAATCTTGACAATTTATTACAAATTTAAAATAAATAATATTTAAAAAAAATTAACATGAGCGGCTATTTCTTAACCCTTTTTTGAATTTACTAAATAATTATAAATCAAGAATTCTTAATAAATGTAACATATGATCTACTCTAACCCACAACAACCAATTTGGGACTTTTTGCAAGAGGTCCTTACTCGTATTGATGTTAATGAAAAACAACAAGAGTAAAATCCAAATATTAGACAACATCATATGTCGTAATCCATAACGCCGTCGGAGGCGTTGTTCATGCAGAACGGAAGGTCGTATGGGAGGACATTAAGTTTTTAATACAAGTAAAATTGATCTTTTTTTTTTTTCATATCGAGATGATATTCGGCTTTTAGTACTTAATAGCAGACATGTGTAGTTTCTACTCTAAAATACTAAATTATATTAAAATATTAAAGATGTTTTCTGTTAACATAAATGATGATATAAGTCAATTTATTTTTTATAGATGAAAAGTTTGCTTAAGGAACAATAACTCTCATTAACTATTTCTTAATCATCGTTTTTCATACTTATTTAATAAACTCAATACAAAGCTTAAGAATAGCAGCTTGTGCCAAATTTTTCTTAAACATTACTTATTTTGAATTTTTTTTAATAATCTATCAAGATTTTTAATGAACTTTTGTTTGAGTAGCATTTTTTATTTATAAATAAATTAATAAAAAATGAGAAAAAATATAGAATATTGCATTTTTAATATTTTATTATAAAATATGTGCCAGTTTTGCTGAAGAAACTACCACCACCACTATCTGCTGTTGTTTACTTTCAAAGTTCACCCGAGAAGTAACATTACTTTGGTACATAGTTCTAAGACTATATTATATTTGTCAATAGTTTTTCATTGCACATAATTTTTGTACAAAACCCTAAATAAAGCCTTTATGCCCAGGTTTTTTTATTGCATTAGGCTGTGCTTTATTTTTGGGAAGTATATACTATACGTCACTAAATTATAGTTAAATTAATTGTGACATCCTACCGAGTCGAGTCTTAGTACCGAGTCGAGTCTTTTCATAGAATCGAGTTGAGTCGGGCCAGACCAAACCCGGTTGGGGTAGAATGGAGTTATAAGTGGACTTACTTGAATGAGAGAAAAAGATCAAAGCATATGGGTGAGGATTTATTTGCATTAAAAAGATTCAGCTTGGGTATTAAGTGGATGCTTTGCTAATTGAGTACCCATTTAGGAAGTTACAACCTTGAATGGCCTACCGTGATTATCACTCCACTTTCCCAATTTCATCTTTATCTTCATCTTCCTTCATCTTTCTTTCCTTTGCCTCTTCCACCTTCCTTTCCAATTTTAATGGGTAGTTAAGGCCTTAACTTCAATGTTTTCCTATTCCAAGTAAGTAAACCTTTCTTGAAGTTCATATGAATCATTTGCGTGCTTATTATTTTTAGGGAATTGCATAAGAATTCTTATTTATAGGTGAAGGGAGTTCTTAAGAGCTGTAGGAAAAAAAAAGAAGTAAAGAAGAAGCTCAAGGCTTGGATTAAAAGGTTTGATATCCTCTGTATTTTCCATTTCTCTGTATGAGATTTGATGGGTGTGGTTGCTATTTGGAGACAATATGTTCATGTTTGAGTTGGGGGACTGGTAATGAGTGAGAAAACAGGGGAGAACAGGGGAGGTATTGAATAAATTAAGTAAATATTGAGGTTTGTTAAAAAGGGGCTTGCTTGGAAATTTACCAGTAAGCTTCATTCTTGATTTTGAACCCCATTTTAAGATAGAATTAGGGAAGTGTCAAGAAAGAGTTATTTGTCCTCTATGTGTTAAGCTTACATGGGTTTTTGGAAGTCATCCAAATCGGAGGTTGTATATTTGAAGAGTTGACCCAACAAGAGTATAGACTGTGCAGGCTGGGAAAACGCGAAGCGCGGCGCCGCGATCGCATTGACGAGCTGCGATTTCAAATGGCGCGCTTCGCGGATTTTCAACCTAAAACTCTCTGGACTCTTATTTGGCAACATCTCGCGCTCGCGACTTTTCAAAATGCGCGCTCGCGGACTGTGCTCGCAAACTCTCGACTCTCATTTGGCACTTTCTCGCGCTCGCGGACTTTAAGTACGCGCTCGCGTACTTGGCCCCTTGGGCCTGTTAAGCGGGCTCGCGACCTTCATCGGCGCGCTCGCGGGAATTGGCCTGGAAACTCACTTGTCTCTTCATTTTGCACTCTAGCGCTCGCCGACTGTGAAGTACGCGCCGGCGACTTGTTGCCCGATAACTCATGGTCTTCATTTGGTGCTTTACGCTTCGCCGACTTTCAAGTACGCGCTCTGGCGACTTGTGTTTTCATGCATTTTTGGATTCATTTTCAATGCAAATTTGTATTCCTTTGCTCCCACTTTATATGCCTTCCAATTCATTTTAAACATCAAAATACAAACATGAGAAACATGTATCAAAACAATCATTCAAGCATGGCAAATGATTGTGAAATCAAATAAACAATTATGAATTATGAAGTTATGAAACTATAAATATTTTAGGAAATAGAATCCTCATTAAGTAAGAAATCTTTTTGGAGATAGGAAATTGTTTAGGCTTTGGATTTCTTCTCAATTAGGACTCTTCCATCTGCCAAAACAGGATTAGATTTTGATTTGTATGTCAGGAAAGTATCTGAACTGAGCCCATGCAAGTGATAGAGACTGGCTGGGGTTCTCAACTTAAGACAGCACTTAATTCGCAGCACGGGCGTAGGCCATAGCAGCCAAGCATACAGTATTCATCCAGTTTCATACAGTTTTTCTTATCACTTCGGTTTCACTATAACCTTATGGAGCCATACAAATATTTTGACATAACATTCCATAAATCATACATTATTACAAACAGTACAAAAGATAATCAAGGTATCATGACAGTATCATGATGTGCGTGCTTATATGTGCCATATGTGGTTACATAGTTCTTTCTATACATGTATGTGTTTAATTGTTTCTTTATATGTTGAGATATCCACTGAGCTTTATTTGCTCAGCGAGTTACCTGTTTAACTCGCTACCTGTTTAAACTCGCAGGGTTTGAGTTTTGGACCGTAAGAGAAGTTCAGCTTACAACTGCTGCAGGTTCATCTGTAGAAGAACTCAGTCTTCAGGGTAGCTACTTATTGGATGTGTATTTTTGTCTATCCTTATTTCATGGCATGTTACAGGGCACAACAGTTGGGCCCATTTTCATTTTTGACACTAGTTCATGTTTTGTAAAATATAAAGTTACATTATTTTTGTATACAACATCCAGCATGCTTAATTATATCAAAATATAGCATTATGATTTTCAGCATGTTACAGCATGTTAGGCCATACAGTCAACCAGTTTGTAGCGTCTCGGTCCGGTTCATTCGGGTTTACGGGTGGACCGGGAAGGGATGTTACATTAATAATATTTAAGTTCCTCTAATTTGATGAAATAATTCTAAGGCTCCTAATTTGTGGCTTGGTCTAGGGATGGAAGCGGTGCGAGTACTTTAAGGTACCTGCTTCGGTCCGATCCATTTAAAATGATACGAGTAATTATAAATGGATTTGGGATGCGTATAAGTGGTGAAATTACTACCCGTAATAGATACGGGTAGTATACGAGTATTGATATTTGAATATCTGTTATATTAAATGGGTATTTGACGCGGAACCCAATGAAAATAAATTTCATGAACTCAATGACAAGTTTTGGAAGAGATCCAAGATGAAACTAAACCCCTCTCTATGGCACCCAAAGCTTAAAGGAGCAAGAACACCAATAATAGAGAAAAGAATTAATAGAGAAAAGAATAAAGAATAAACGCCACAAATTAGATTGAATAAGTTTACCTTGATTTTTGATGCAAAATTAAAGAAATGCCATCTCACACTCTCTAAAACATGAGACAAGCATGAAGTTGAAGAAGAAACTCTCTTTAATTCATTAATTATCTGTTTAAAATTTACAAAATAACAAGCTATTTATACTAATCTAAGAGGTCCAGATCCTTAGAGGATTTAGAGTTAGCTAATTTAGCAAATCTAAAATTAGGTAAAGAAAGTATAGGTGCAGAAGTTAATGATACGGATCCATCATCACTCGTCGCTGGATCGCAAGGAGGTATGGTGAACGATGAAGGAGATCCATTGGTAATCAAAATAAGGCTAATTATTCAAGGGTGGCCAAAATATTGGAGGCCCAACCCATTAGCTTTGCAAAAACACAAAATAAGCTAACTAGTTTAATGAGAGGCAGACAGTTGCACGGTTCAGGGCGTGCCAAGGCGCACGGGCGTGCGCGCATGTATGTGTGTCCCTTGCGAGAGCCAGACAGTTGCACGGTCCAGGGCGTGCTGATTGGCACGGGCGTACGCGCATGTATGTGTGTCCCTCGTGAGAGGCAGAAGAGTGCATGGTCTGGGGCATGCTACCATGCACGGGCGTGCTTCTTGGGCGTGCTATTTGGCACGGGCGTGCTTCATGCAACTTGATCTTCCTCGGCAAGTCAGAAGAGTGCACGATCTTGGGCGTGCCACCTTGCACAGGCGTGCTAACATAGCACTGTCTAGGCATGCCATAGGCTGGAAATTCAGGTTCCAACTCAACATGTGCTTCCATCAATGTGAGAAACTTAGGTGATCAAATGTGAGAAACTTAGGTGTCCCCATGCCTTCCCTTGAGCCTCCTTATGTTGGTGGTAGCATTCCCCGTATCATTGGCCCTTTTCCTCGAAAAGATTTCGTCCCTCGAATCTTAGTTAAAGATTGAGTATCCATGCTCGCCTTGTTCTCCATGGGTTGCTCCATGTTCCTTTGCATGACTTTCTGTAGTTGTTTCTTTGCATGACTTCTTGTAGTTGGTCCACTAGGAAGCATTAATGGATTTTTCATGTTGTTCTCATTGCACCCTTGAGTTCCATGGATGAGTGATGGCGGATTCGTATTAGTATTCTATCCATTCTAAGTAAAAAATCTATTTTAAATAAGTTCGAATTTAGATAGTTGAAGATTTGATTGTACCTATTCGTTTAAAGGGTATTTTAAACGGACTTTAGACTGGCACAAATAGTAAAAATTTAACGGGTTTGCATACAATACTTAAATGGATATTTAAATGAATTTAAACAGATATAAATAATTTAAACTTCGCTGATACTCGCCCAACTTCCATTCCTAGCTTAGTTTCATTATGAAGTCATTCCAAAAAAAAAAAAGAGGCTCTTTTTCCGTCTAAATCAATGAAAAATCTAAATTACTCATGAAAGTTATTTTTAAATACCATTTCTACCCTTAACGAGCTAATGTCTCTACCTTAATGGGTATTATAAATGGAAGCTTTTTTTTTTTTTTTTTTTTCTTTCCTTCGTAAGGAAGAAAATCCAGAAAATTAAAGAAGGAAGTTTTTCTTTTATAAACGGTTGTTCAAGCTCCTTCATGCACCGCGTTTGGCCTGAAACCCATTACTGCAAATTAAAGGGGTACTTTTGGACGCATTTATGTTATAAATTTTAGGGACATAGAATTAGGAACGTAAAAGCCATTTCCGCTTTTTTTTTTTTTTTTCTTCTCTCGTAAGAAGAAAATTCAAGAAATAAAGAAGGAAGTTTCTTTTTATAAACGGTGTCAAGCTCCTTCATGCACCGCGTTTGGCCTGAACCCTATACTGCAATTAAGGGGTACTTTGGACCATTATGTTATAATTTAGGACATAAATTAGGACGTAAAAGCCATTTCATCAGACCAGGAGACTTAAATCTTAATCCCGTTATTAGTATTACTTTCGTTCTATTATATTTGTCACATTTGAGAAAATAATTTATTCTAAAATATTTATCATATTAAACTGAAGTAATAATTATTGATCACATATAAAAAGTAAATATAAAAAAATATTTATTATTTCTTGAAATTATTAAAAATAATATAGTTAATTTAATTAATAATTTATTATAATTTAAATAAATTTAATGTTATTCAGTTTGAAATTTTAAATGTAAGAAATAACTATGGAATAAGGTATAATTTAGTTACAATTCAAATGGTTGCTCGCGTCTCCCGTTTCTCATAGACGCCTTAGAGAAACAAACTAGAACTAGAGCAGCCATGCGAACGCATTTCTTTCTCCTGCAAAATCCATGCCTTTAAACTTTTCCACTGAAGCTACAATTCGTACTCTCTTCAATTCCTGCAAAAATATACACCACCTCTATCAGCTCCACGCCCGCATAATCCGAAAAGGACTTGAGCAAGATCACTTTATTATCTCCCGTGTGCTCACCCTCTCCAATTCTATATCCTATTCGACTTTCATTTTCAATCGTCTCCTTACTCCCTCGACTGTCTTATACAATATACTCCTCAAACTATACTCCAAAAAATCTCATTTTGACGATTCAATTTCTCTTTTTATTCGCATGAAGCGGAGTGAACATTCTTGGCCGGATGAATACACGTATCCTTCGGTTATCAGGTCGTGTTTGAATGAGTATAAACTAAAGGAAGGTCAAATTTTTCATGGGTCGGCGATAAGGAGTGGGGTTAGTAAAGATTTGTACGTTGGGTCTAGTTTGATTGATTTTTACGGAAAATGCAAGGAGATATTAACTGCACGCAAGGTGTTTGATGAAATGACTGAAAGGAATGTTGTTTCTTGGACTGCAATGGTCCATGGGTATTTGAATGTTGGGGATTTGGATAATGCGAAAAGAGTGTTTGTTCAAATGCCGGAGAGGAACTTAACTTCCTGGAATGCGATGGTTGGTGGATTGGTGAAAGGAGGGGATTTGATTAATGCTAGGAAGGTGTTTGATGACATGCCTGAAAGGGATGTTGTTTCTTTTACTGTTATGATTGATGGCTATGCAAAGGTAGGGGATATAGCATCTGCCAGAGCTTTGTTTGATAAAGCTCCGAAAAGAGATGCCTTTTTGTGGTCAGTATTAATATCGGGATATGCTCAAAATGGGCTCCCAAACGAGGCATTGAAGATATTCCAAGGAATGGAGTTAATGAATGTTAAGCCAGATGAGTATATAATGGTTAGCTTGATGTCAGCATGTTCTCAAGTGGGTAATTTAGATTTAGCAAAATGGGTTGACTGTTATTTGAGTCAGAGCTCGATTGATATTGGTCAAACTCATGTTGTTGCTGCACTTATTGACATGAATGCAAAGTGCGGGAACATGGATAGAGCAAATAAGTTATTTGAAGAAATGCCTAAAAGGGACCTTTTTTCTTATTGTTCTATGATACAAGGATTGTCCATTCATGGATATGCTGAACAGGCTGTGGGATTATTCAATAAAATGCTAAATGAGGGATTAATTCCAGATAATGCAGCATTTACTGTCATTTTGACAGCTTGTAGCCATGGAAGGCTTGTTGAGGAGGGTAAGCATTACTTTGAAACCATGAAAAGCAAGTATTCTATGGTTCCCTCTCCTGAACACTATGCATGTATGGTTGATCTTCTTAGCCGATCAGGACAGCTAAAAGAAGCTTATGAGCTTCTGAAGTCAATGCCTGTGGAATCTCATGCAAGTGCATGGGGTGCACTTCTTGGAGCTTGTAAGTTTTATGGTGAGGTTGAGTTGGGGGAGATTGTTGCTAACCGCTTATTTGAGCTTGAACCTGAAAATTCCAGTCCTTATGTGCTCTTGTCAAGCATCTATGCTGCAGCAGATCAATGGCTGGATGTTTCTCATGTCAAGAACAAAATGAAGGAGAGAGGGCTTAGGAAACTACCTGGCTGCAGTTGGATATAGCACGAAAGGTATGATTTTTTTGCATCCCTCAACTACGCCATTTGTGTGCCCAGAATTAGATGAAATATGAAACAAGCAACATTCAATTCTTTACCCGGAATTGAAATATGGATTCCAAATTTACACTAGACTCCAGACTAGGTGTGTGGTTTAAATTGGACATCCTGTGCCAAATCCATGATTCTAGCTTGGTGTCATTGAACATGAAAGAAGTGCATTTTGGTTGCTATGTTTAAAATTGTCACCTGAAGTGATGGAAACGTGACCATTGGCTTTAGTAGATTGATGGTTTAATGCTGAAGTTGAAACTGCAAGGCAGCTTATGTAAAGCCAGTTCTTTGATGAAATTTTTGGTTGATCAAAGGCTGCAAATAGTTTTGACCGTATTAGTTTTCCTAAGGAATTTTACAGTAACAGTGTAACTTTCAGTATTTACTTTTGTTTTCAATATTGACTCGTTTTACTATTTCGCTCACCAAATTACTCTTTCCACCGATCACAATTTTGAATGAAATTTATTTTTGGTATTACACGCCATTCTCTCCTATCAGTACCCTGAATTGTCATGTTAGAGTCAGACCTTTGAACCTTATGCTGCAACAAGCAACAGTATGTTTCTTTTACCTAAATATGAAATGAAAATAGAAATCAGAATACAAATTACAGCTTAATTTCTGGTATGCAATTCACTTTTTTTTTCCTCACTTATGTTTTTTATTTTACATGAAGACTCGAGAAAAAAAGCTTCTAATGTGCTAGCTTTCAATGCATAAGCAACATAAGCTGGAGAAGTTTGAAATAAAGTACTAAACATGAGTTTTGATATTTTCAAAATATACTGTATTTAGTTGAGTAGATTATTGTCAATTTCACCGAGTCAGAACTGAAAGAACATTAATATTATTTGCATATAAGCAGTTTATAAACAAAGAAAAATTTAAATCTGAACCTTTAAACTTATGATACTATATTCGTCAATTTATTCTCTAAATTTCAATTAATTGGGCTTCAAAACTTTGCAAATTTGATGAACATATGTTTAACAAATTCGCAAAATTAACCCCACTCATTTTTCTAAATTTATGGGGGAACTAATGTTAACCAAGACGATGCAGACTGAAATGCTGCTCCATCTTGATATGAACAGATTTCTTTTGCATATTTCTAATGCATTTCAACATGGCTATCCAAATAAGACATTGCAACAGCAGCATGAAAAGCTGCACCTACTGGAAGAGCCATTTCATCAATAAAAAAGTAAGGTGAGTGCAATGGCACATCCGATTTCAACGTCTCATTTTTAATCCCAAGAGCAAATGCAGTAGCAGGAATCTTCTTGGAAAAGAAACTGAAATCCTCTGCTCCCATGGTCACTGGAAGAAGCTGCACGTTCTGCTTCCCGAGTAAGATCTCTCCTACTTTCTTTGCATGCTCATACATTGGTTCATTATTAATCATGACTGGATGTAGTGGTGTGTCTTCCTTAAAATCCAATATAGCAGCACACCGATGAACAATTGCTTGCATCTCAATGATCTGTTATGGAAAATAAATAAATTTACCAGCTACTTTCTTTCAATCAAAATTATAATAATCAATAGGAATTTTTTAATGTCAGCAAAGGAAGACATATCTTACCTCCTTTATCCTTTCCATCATGTGGATTAGGCCTTCATCGGTCAAGCTCCTGAAAGTTCCTCCGAATCTCACAGATTCTGGGATTACATTTATTGCTTGACCTCCTTCTACAAACCCAACTGTGACGACTTACAAATATTTTCAAATGAATAATGAATAAATTCTATTGATTATTATATGGCAGCTACTTAACTAATCCCACTGCAGTATCTTCTGCAATTATTTCACTAGAGTGCCTGCATACTGCAAAAGGTTAGGCGTTAAAATGCTGAAAACCTTTATTCCCTTTAAGCATCTACTTTAGTCGGTAAATTTACAAGATTTTATAGTGATTTGCTAAGAGGGCTGCTCTTGCCAATAGATATGGTGCACCATGTTCATGCATAGCCAGTTCAGCTAATAACTTATTTATTGATATCATGCAGTGAACAGAATGCTACTACTACATCTTTCAGAAATCTATTCTGCAATAAAGAAAGGAAAAGATTACACCAGCACGAAGAGGATCCAACTCTCGAGATACAATCTGTTGGAGAGCAATGATTGCAAAAGATGCAGCAAGAATTGGATCTATACTACTATGTGGAGTTGCTGCATGCCTGCCTTTTCCTCGAATTGTAACAGAGAAAAGTCCAGCACCGGCCAATATTGGACCAGGCCTTGAGGCAATAACGCCAGTGGGAATTGAAGGTAAAACATGTAACATGAAGATAGCTTTCACATCATCAAGAACACCATCTTGTAACATATGGTAAGCACCAGCATAACCTTCTTCTCCTGGCTGGAAAACAAGCTTCACAGTACCCTTCAAAAATTAAAAGCTCAAATTGTGAGGTAAAAAAATGTACTTGAGCTGTTTTTCTTTTTTTTCCTCTCCCGATAACATTTAGATATAGAAGTGATAGAAATTACCTTTATTTCATTTCTCTTTTGCTGGAGTAATTTGGCTGCTCCAAGAAGCATTGACACATGAGAATCATGACCACAAGCATGCATTCTGCCATCAATTTTACTCTGGTGTTCCCACTCCACTAATTCCTTCCATATGGTAAGAGTATTTTAACGATGTCAAATATTTATAAGAAAGGCAGAGGACAATTGCTAATAGTTGCAAAAGATTAATTTTTTCTCTAACAATTTTATCTTGTAAAAGGTATCCTTTTTTACATTTCTGTATATAGTCTCACATTAATATTGTAATTAAGCAGAAGTGACTGAAATTAAGCAAAATCTCTGTATCCACCATTACCGAGAAGGTTTACCTGCAAAGGAAGGGCATCCATGTCAGCTCTGAGGGCAAAAACTGGTTTCTCTCCCGAACCAATAGAAGCGACTACTCCAGTTTTGGCAACAGGCCACTTATACTTGATCCCAAGTGAGTCAAGCTCAGTCCTGATGAGTTGACTCGTTCTATGCTCCTCAAATCCAAGCTCTGGATGTTCATGGATTCTTCTTCTTATTCCTTTTATCCATTCAAGGAACTTAACCTCCCTCGCCGATTCCAACAATTCCTGACTCAGTAACTCCAAACCTGATTCAGTCGACAAAGCTGAAGATTGATATAAGAAGGCTGAGACGCAGAGCAAGGACATTAAATTAAAACCCATCAGGCAAATGCCATTGAAAGACATTCCAATTCCCAAAATCAGTTTTTAAGTTGCGGACTCCATAAAAACAAAGTTTCTGTCCGAGCCCATGTTTTATTTTGTGGACAGGAAGTTTTAAGCCTGGGATGGGAGTGGGAGCTAGTGAGAGTGACGGTTGGGTTAGAGCTTTATTTCTGAATTTATTTTTAGTGTGAAGAAAATATTAGTGAATATTTAATTATTTATTTTTACTAAAATTCAAATGGTGAGTTTCTTTCTTTTTTTTTACCCCCTTTGAAAAAGAAAATCAAATGGAGAATCTGAAAAATGTGTATTTCTTACTAGGTTTGCACCCATAGCTCCTGAATCTCTAATTACTCGTTCTTATAAGTATTTTAAAATTTTTTTTTTTTAGAATTTATAACATTTTTACACATTTTTATGCCTTTTTTTTCAATCAAACGAAACTTTGTGTCACAAAATATCCAAGAAACGCATTACTCGTATAAAAAAAAAACACCAAATCTATGGAAAGATAAATTTACAGAACAGGGTAAACCGATCCACAGGTAAAATCCAATTAACTTAGGTCGGATTATATGTTTTTCTTTTTTGTTTTTTAATGAGAGTAATTTCAAGGAATTATACATCGTATTTTATATTTACAAATATACTTAAAATTATACTTAACTCTCATACTGGAGTAAGATTTCCAAAGGAAACATTTATGTGGATCCTCTACAAACAAGTACACTAACAGAGTCTCTTGAAGCTACATGTGTTAAAAAGCATTTGTGCATGTTGACAATGACAATGCATTGAGATTTTATTTTCCAGTCACAGACAGAAGAAATTAAATCTAATGTGTCTCAACTGCTTGAGCATCCAAGTAAGAAATGGCAACTGCAGCGTGGAGAGCAGCTCCAACAGGAAGGACTTCCTCATTAAGAAAAAAATATGGTGAATGTAATCTTTTAATGGAGTTATCGTTTTCGTTCTGTACTCCAATCACGAAAAAAGCAGCTTTCATCTTTTGTGCATAAAAGCTAAAATCTTCTGCACCCATAAAAGCTTCCATCTTCTGCACATTTGATTTCCCAAGCAAAACTTCCCCAACTCGTTTGGCATGTTCATACATTGCTTCATCATTTACTGTGGCCGGATAAGGCTTCAGTGTTTCCTCCATGAAATCTACTGAAGCAGTGCACCGATGAACAGCTGCTTGGTTCTCTACAACCTGTTAGAAAACACACCATCAATAATATTTCATCTAAAATATTAAAATAGCTTCATCATTTTCATTGTACATTTAGCGGGTGACAATTTTATGTTGAAGACAGTTTATTGTATCTGCTACTTTATAAAATATAATGAATTTGTAGATGTTCATATTTAAATCCTCAGGTTGCTTATTGCTATCTATCTTGAGCATCATCTGGAAAATTTCAGTATTCAAACAAATATTTAACAAATTATGTTTATGCTAATAATTAGATAATTTCTAACTCTTGAATCATTGTATTATAATTACCTCTTTTATCCTTGTCATAAGATGATTTAGACCTTCTGTCGTCAAGCTCCGAATTGTACCTCCAAATTTCACTGTCTCTGGTATAACATTCCCAGCCCGGCCACCCGCAACAAACCCCACTGACAGTACCTATACAATGTTGGAAATGAAAAAGTTCACCAATAGGTATGTATCTACCACAATGAGGAACATAAGGACTCAAAAAAGTTTCAGTAGGATATCAGATCATGATATTGTGGACTGCATTTGCTGCTCATGCTTGGCAAACAAGATTCTGTAAAATGTAAATCCAATTGCAACTCAGACTATGTTTGGCATTATGGTTTTGAAAATACCATTTTAAATGTTGTTGGAAAAAGCAATCTGAAAGTGTTATTTTCTAATTTTTATGATGAATAAATTCAAGTTAAAAACAATTCTTTGTTGCCTTCAAACATCATTCTCAATATGCTGCTTTTCTTATTAGCAAGTCGAATAAGAATACCAGACAAATACTAAATCATAAATTCATCTCATCTTCCATGAGACATGGGAAATGAAAGTCATACCCTCGGCTCGAGAGGATCTTTCTCTCGAGAAATTAAGTGTTGAAGTGCAAGGATGGCAAAGGAAGCAGCAAGAACTGGATCTCTTGTATCTTGAGGCCGCGCAGCATGTCCACCCTTCCCCTTAATGACAACTGAAAACCTTGCAGATGCAGCAGCCATTACACCAGGTTTAGAAGCAATTGAACCAACAGGCATATCTGGTGCAACGTGGAGACCAAAAATGGCTTGGAAGTTATCAAGGGCTCCTTCTTTCAACATATGGTAAGCACCGGCATGCCCTTCTTCCCCAGGTTGGAAGACAAGCTTAACAGTACCCTTTGGAGCAAACACAGAGAGAGAAATGAAAGAGTAGAGAAATTATAAACCTTGAAGAGGGGCTTTTTTTTTTTTTTTTTTTTTTTTTTTTTTTTTTCAGCAGCCCATTACACCAGGTTTAAGAAGCAATTGAAACCAACTAGGCATATCTGGTGCAAACGTGGAGACCAAAAAATGGCTTGGAAGTTATCAAAGGGCTCCTTCTTTCAACATAAATGGTAAAGCACCGGCATGCCCGCTTCTTCCCCAGGTTGGAAGACAAGCTTAAAACAGTAACCCTTTGAGCAAACACAGAAGAGAGAAATGAAAGATAGAGAAATTATAACCTTGAAGAGGGGCTTTTTTTTTTTTTTTTTTTTGTATTTTTTGTATTTTTTTGGCAAATAAAATATACCTTTAACTTATCTTTCTTTTTTTTTTTTTTTTTTGTATTTTTGTATTTTTTTGCATAATATACCTTTAACTTATCTTTCTTGCGTTGAAGTAACTTAGCTGCTCCAAGCAGCATTGTAACGTGAGCATCATGGCCACAAGCATGCATTTGGCCATTGATCTTGCTCTTGTGCTCCCACTCTACCAATTCCTTTCCAAATAATAATAATATCATTGCAGTATATTAGCAAACAGAGATGAAAATATGAAAGATTCCTAATGTTATTAGTTAAAAAAACATCAAATATTCAACTTAAACACGATTCCAATAATTCATTGCATAGATTTATATTAAGAAGGGGTTTATTAGATGTTCTCTTTAACTTATTATAATAAACTTGAATGGAATTTTTTTATCAATCAACTCCTTTAATAAATAATCAAATTATCTTCCATTATTATTTTCCTGCATTTGTCATCTAAGAACACATGGGACATGATTTTGGCGATTCGAGTCAAATGCATTTTCCTTCATATTTTCCTATATTTCCATGCTAATGATTTGGTGAAATATAAAACAATGTCTTTGTAATGTTAATATTACACTAAAAATTAACATTAAAACAAAATATTTTAAGAATGGAGATAAGTATTTATTCATTAAACTAAGGCAGCAAAGTATTAATGGAAATAAAGAGAAATAAAAAAGAAAATCAAATTAATTATTTGATTTAAATAGATAATTTTATAAATTTTGATGCAAACAAAATATTAACAATAACAATAACAATTTATAATTATTATCGACCTCATTTAATAAATAATTAAATTTTAATAAAATTATGTTTCATTATGGTTTTCCTGCATTAATGATATAAAACCATATTAATCAAATGCATTTTCATACTAATTATGTAGTAAATTGTACTGAAATGTAATATAAAGTAAAGTAATTAAATCTATTTTTTTGTATTATTATTTTATTAATGAAATAAAAAGAAAAAATTAACATAAATAATAAACCTGAAAGCAAATCACGTGACCCACGTGACAAACGAGTGTTTATGGCACAACACAACACCAATTCACCGATTAATCGAGATAATGTAGCTACAATAAAAAACAGAATCGTACCAACCTGAATAGGGAGAGCGTCCATATCTGCTCTAAGACCGAACCATGGCTGGACCCCTGACCCAATCGAACCAACCAACCCAGTCTTCGCAATAGGCCATTTATACTCTATTCCGAGTGAGTCGAGTTCCGATCTTATGACTTGACTCGTGTTGTACTCTTCGAAGGCCAATTCTGGATACTCGTGCAATTTCCTCCTAGTTTGTTTTAACCAATCGAAGAACTCGGGCTCTCTCGCCGATTTCAGCAGCTCCCGAGTCAGAGAAGTCAGCTCCGATTCTGAAGTGGCCAAAGCCAGGATAGATGGGAAGATTAGGAAGCAAAGCCATAGCATTAGAGAGAAAAAGAAGGTTTTATTCATTTTGGAGCCGCCAATGCAATTTCTGTTTTCTGTCTGTATCGCAGTGTATGCTTGCGAATTACGATTAAGGAATCGTCTTTAAATAGGAGTGTGGGTCCTGTACCTGGTTTAAATTTTTATTTTTTTTTAAAGAAAATTCTATTTTTATTAAGTAGCATGTTATTTATAATGGCTCAAAGGCTGAGGATAGCTTTTTATAAAACGTCTAGCGTTTAGTGCAGTGGAATAGATTAATTAAATTATTTTGACAATTAATATTTTTTTTCGAATTTAGATAATTAAATTAAATATTTAATATTTTATTTTGTCGTATTAAATTAAATGGCTAACTAAATAATTATATTTGCCGAACCCTCTTAATTTAAACAACTATATATATACACATATACAGGTAACTTAATTTAAATTGCTACTTAAATTGCTATATAATAATTACTAGCTTTTTGTATAAGCATATAAAGCCTATCAATAGCTAAATAGTTATTACAACAACTAATAATTTTTTTTTGAGAAATATGCCTACCAGTAGCTAAATAGTTATTGCAACAATTAATAATTTTTTTTGAGAAAAAATAATTAATAACTATTAAAATAACAGTATTGTGAAACTGGCGCTAATGCACATAATAGATTTATTTATTCTTAATTTTGGCGTGATAAAGACATTCTCAATTTCTAGAATGTTCTAAAATCTGTTAGATTATTTTAATAATCTATGTGGCCATGTAATTAAGGGGCTGGTTCTAATTAAGATGACCCAAGATGATGGTTATTGGGCTTAATGGGATGAGAACCAGTTAGGGTTTTAATACCCTTCCTCTGTCTTATAAAAGATCAAGGAAATTAACAGCGTACATTAAGAGAATGTGACGGCTACCTCAAACACATAGTGGTGATAGGTTGTTTGAGAGAACGTGAAAGAAAACTCTCGTTGCTGTCGATAATTCTCTAATCATTAAGAGAGAACTTACGACAAAAAGCTAGAGCGAAGAAACGTAGATTTATTGTTAGGATGAGAATCGAATTGCCGCAACGAAGTAATCAATAGCTATAGATCAAGGTACGCTTCCATTAACAGTTTTTCTATTAAATAATTTCTGGACAAAACGATCTAGGTAGCATTAAAGTTTTTACATGTGGTATCAGAGCCTAGTTTGTTCTAGATTTATTTGATAGAATTTGTATTTGGTTTGGTTAATGGAAATTAATTTCGTATTATGAAATTGTTTTAATCTGGTATAAACAAAGCCAAAGTTATAGAAATTGAAAAACCGTTTGTTCGCTTTGTGCTTTCTAAATTATTCTACTGTAATTTATAAAAGAAAGAACAAGACATCTTATTGTATAATGTCATTAAAGTTTTGACATCTTAATTCAATCTCATAAGGTTCTGCATAATTCAATGTTTAATGAATGAAAAACTTGTTACCAAAGTGACCTTGTTTGGATTTATTTCGATATTTGATTATGCAGTTTTTCAATTGTTCATATCATGTGATGCCGTAAATGAGATAAAAGATAAAATTAAGCAATTGAGATCATTGATTATAATGTTATGAGGTTACCCAAAGGTAGACCATTACTTATAATCAATGGCGTCAAAAAGACCTATCATTGCATTTGATAAATATGTATGTATACCCAAAGGTAACATAGATGTTTTCTTGCTGTATTATTGCTAAAACTGGACTCCAGAAAGGGGCACGGGCGTACTGTAATGAGCACAGGCGTGTTACGGACTCCAGAGAGTAGCACGGGGCGTGTTATAATGAGCACAGGCATGCTACAGATCTTAGAGCACAACACGATTTGTGCTGTAATTAGCACAGGCGTGTCCTGAACTCCAGAGAGTAGCACGAGTCGTGCTGTAATGTAGCATGGGCGTGCCTTGAGTTCCAAAGAGAAGCACGGGCGTGCCTCTACTTTTTAAATGGCATATTAATTCACGAGTTCCTGTGCATAAATGAAGGTCTATTAAAGTATTTTATTCTTGGCATCATTATTGATTAAAGTTATGTATTTAAGTATTACCCAAATGTGAATTTAAATGCATAATTAAGTTTGTTATTTGTTTGAATCCATTTAAGTTTTTTCTCAAAGTGTTAACGTATGAGTATATGTATTATACTGCAGTTTCTTCTAACATGTTCGCTATGGTGAATTTTAAATGCATAAATTAAGTTTGTTATTGTTTGATCCATTTAAGTTTTTTTCTTCAAAAGTGTTTAACGTATGAAGTAATATGTATTATACTGCAGTTTCTCTAACATGTTTCGCTTATGGGCACTGGGTTTGACTTAAGTTCAATGGATTAAATAATGCTGATTGGTCTGAACAAATCTATTATCAGTTAGAGTTCCTGAACTTAGATCTGGCCATTAGTCTCTAAAAGGCAGCAGCCTATCACAGAGACCAGTTAACAGAAGCTGAAAGTTCCTCATTAATGAGGCTTGGGAAGCAGTCTAACAGGCTGAGCCTTGAACTTAATGAGGAATGACAAATAGCTGAAAATGTTTAAAGCCATCAATGCCCAAATCGACGACGCTAAGAGAGTACATGTTGAAGATTAAGGATACTCCCAATCGGAATATAGTAAGGAATACTCCCAATCGGATATAGCTGATAAATCCATAGTAGGGTCCTTAATGAGTGAGCTAACGACCAAGAAGTTTGATTGGTCACAATCTATTCATGATCATGTGACTAGCATGCAAAATTTGGCAGCTAGATTGAAATCAATGGGTATGGATGTGAGTGAGTCCTTTTTAGTTCAATTCATTATCAACTCACTCCCTCTTGAGTTTGGTCAGTTTCAGGTGAATTACAACACCCTTAAGGAAAAATGAAACATTTAAGAAATCAAGGTCATGCTGATACAAGTGGAAGGGAGACTAAAGAACATGAAGGAACACTCCGTCAATCTCACTTATGATAATGGAGCTAGTACCAGCAGCAGCAAATCAGGGAAGAAAGGTAAGAAAAGGGACAAAGCCCCAATGAAGGTGAATGAGGGCCAAATTCGTAAGGAGTTGAAGTGCTACTTCTGTAAGAAGAATAGTCACTTCAAGAAGGATTGTCCGAAAAGGAAGATCTGGTTCAAAAAGAAAGGTATATTTTACGTTTCAATTTGTTTTGAATCAAATCTTATTGAAGTGCCTAATAATACCTGGTGGTTAGATTCTGGTGTCACTACTCATGTGTCTCATGTTATACAGGGATTCCTTTCGATCCAACCCATAAACGAAACTGAAAAGTTCCTATACATGGGAAACAGAATGAAGGCACAACAGAATAAGGCACGAATAGAAGGAATTGAGATTATAGATTGATCCGCTGGACACTGGATGTTATTTGGATATTTGAAAAGAGTCTCTATTTCCTGAAATGTGCTAGAAATTTTAGTTCCTGTAGGGAGTTGGAGCAAAATATTGTTTTGAGGTTGGACAATATTGGTTTTAATTTCAAGATTGGTAATGGTGTTTTTTCATTGTACAAACATAAGTACTATTATGGTTCTAGTACTTTAATTGATAGTTTGTATCATTTTAATCTTGATGTTAAATTTATTGAATCCTTGTTTAATGTTGAGCACAATATAGGCAATAAACATAGTGCACATAATGAATGTTCTGCTTTCTTATGGTATCAAAGTTAGGTCACATATCCAAAGAAAAGATTTTGAGGTTAGTGAAAGGTGAACTCTTACCTTAATTAGATTTTATTGACCGGGATGTGTGTATAGATTGCATTAAAGGTAAGCAAATTAAACACACATTAAAGAATCGAGCCACAAGATGAAAAGTATTTTACTAGGTCTTATACACAATAATATATGTGTTCCTTTCGACATTCCCTCTTGGGGCAGTGAAAAGTATTTTATCACTTTTATTAATTATTTCTCACAGTATGGTTATGTATATTTGCTGCATGAAAAGTCTCAATCAAAGTCTCAATCAGTGGATATCCTTGAGATATTCATTAATGAGGTAGAGAGGTAGTTAAATAGAAGAGTTAAAGTTGTGAGATCTGATAGAGGTTGTGAATATTATGGTAAGTTTAATGAAAATGGACAATGTCCAGGTCCATTTGCAAAGTTCCTTGAAAGTCAAGGCATATGTGCGCAATACACAATGCTAGGCACACCTCAATAGAATGGTGTAGCTGAAAGGAGGAATCGTACACTTATGGAAATGGTTAGAAGTATGTTAAGTAATAATATTGTACCTTTATCATTATGGATGCATGCATTAAATACCGCTGTATATTTGCTTAATAGGGTTCCTAGCAAAGCAGTTCCTAAGACCCCTTATGAACTGTGGACTGGAAGGAAACCTAGTTTAAGACATCTTCATGTTTGGGGTTGCTTCATGTTTGGGGTTTGCCCAACAAGAAGTCAGGGGATATATAATTTCACATGAAAAGAGCTTGATCTAGAATATAGTTAATAGATTATTTCATAAGGATAATCTTGAAAAGTCAAAAGGTACAAATTTTATTGTCATAATCATAGTACGGAGAAATTGTAAGAGTATGGTAAATGCTTGTTTATTGAAAATGGCAATTAAGTGGGAGTGGTGAAACCACGTAAAGTGGATGTTTTGCAATGAGATTCAGATTGAAAGTCCAACTAGGTGGATTTTTCCCTAATGTCTCTTCTTCGGTTGTTGTTCCTTCTGGTTGTAATCACGGTTTAACAACAATGGTTGAACAACAAAATAACATTCCAAACCCACAAAAATGAACCAATTAAATGATGAAACAGTAAATAATGAACAAGTCACAAAATGAAGCAAGTGGTTCCATAAGAAATAGCATTACGGAGGTCAGCAAATGAGCAAGTGGTTCCATAAGAAATAGCATTACGGAGGTCAGAAAGGCAAAGAAGGCTAGCTATTTCTAGTGATTATGTGGTGTACTCACTTGAGAATGAATGTGAATTGAGCATTGATAAGGATCCAGTCTCTTTCCAGAAAGCCATGGAATGTGATAATTCTGAAAAGAGGTTTAACGCCATGAAGGAAGAAATGACAATCAATGAGTGACAATCAAGTCTGGGATTTAGTCGAGTTGCC